AATATACATATGAAGGTGTCACCAATAGCTTTGTCCTTTTGTCTAGCTAATAAGTAGAATTAGGACTGTTTTAAAGATGTTTATGGTAGGCATGCCCCTAAAACAGACCAGCAGTCTTCTGCCCAGACACTGTGGTTCCCCATTAAATCCTATCAGATCTATACACTGGGACTAAGGAGCCTTGATATTTGGACAATTTGGAAATACTAGCAGCTGTAATAGCAAAAGGAGCTAAGATTTTTCCTCTTATACGTATTATTACACATGGCTTTCTAGCCATTATGCTAGAAAGCATAATGGATTAGGAATTGAGCTACCCATTTGAGTCCTTGCTTTGTAATAACTGATATGATCTTGGCAAGGCATATTACCCAGAAGTCATTCTTAGTAACTTTCTCTCTTACCTCCCATAGCCATTTAATCCTTGAATTCTGTCAATTCTATATTCTAAATATCTTAAATTTCTCCTTTCTCTGTAGTCACTGCTACCACTCAGGTCACAGCAACCATCATCTCTTTCCTGGACTACTGTAACTACTGCCTGTTGACTAGTCTCCCTGTGTCCCTTCTCCTGTCTTGCAACTTCCATGCCATTTTCTACACAGCCACCAAAATAACTTTTTTTAGGAACTGAAATCTGACCCATTGCATATAAGACATACTTTTTCTAAAAATCCTCCAAAGGACTACAGGATACTAAACCAAATGTCTTTCAATGATCTCTCCAGCCCCGTCAAAAGCCTTTCCCCCCCACCACTCACTATGCTCTAGCCCAGCCAGCTGCTCTCTGTTCCTCCAATATCCCTAGCTCCTTCCCTTCTCAGCAACCTTCTAACATGGTGTGCCTTCTGGCTCCAATGGTCCCCTCTCTTTGCTTAATTCCTCCTCATTTTTCATATTGTGATTTGATTAAATATTATATGCTTAGGGAAGCATTCCCTGACCCTTCTTCATATCAGTTAGGATGCCCACTATCTATGCTTACAGGATCCTGTACTTTTTCTTCATATCATATACTAAATAGAAATTAAATAATAATTTGTAGAATTATCCATTTAAATCTTATCTCCTCACCTAGACCAAAAGCTCACTGAGGGCAAGGAAGTGTCCACTATTTGCTCACTTAATCGCTAGGACCTAGCAGATGGTTAATATGTGTTTGATGAATTTAACACAAGTATCTCAATTTCTTCATTTATCATATGAAGTTAAAAATTCTTGCTCTATCTGCATCTTGGTTTTTTTTTCTGTGGAGCAGGTGAACCATATGTATATATAGAAAGTGCTCTGGACAGTATAAAGTACTTTACACATAAAATGTTGTATATATACATGAATACGTACATATTTATCTTTCTGTGGGTTCAGATTCTGTGTCATGAAATGGGCAATTGATAAAAGATCTGTAAATGTAAACATTTACCTGTGCATATATATGCAATTGGTGTCTCCTCTTATAGCTGTATAGAAGGTAGGAATGGGGTTTGATAGACTGTGGCATCCTCATGGATCAACCCTAGGACCTTCAGGCTATAAAAACAGGCTGTTCTTTTGAATACTGAAAGTCCATCTGGAATAAGACTCCTCTACATGAGAACTAAATCATAGTACACACAAAAATATACTATATATAATAAAATCTTAATGAAAGATTTACTCTTTAGAAGTAAATCAGATTTTTTAAAGACCATTTTAAAAATCACAAAGCACCTGTAAATAAACACTGATGCGTACTTCCTGAGGTAAAATGGAAAAGTAGCAGCAGACTATAGGATTCTTGCTCCTGAGATATAACATAATGAGTAAGCAGGACTAATACATGAGAAAGACACCCATAATTACAAACCAGAAATAGCTGTAGCTAGCTGCCTTTTGCGCCATAGGCATAGCCTTCATGTATTAGTTAATTTAATCTTTACAGTATCTTCATGAAGTATGTTTAGTTTTTAAGGGTGAGGAAACCTTAGAAGATAACACCTCTTCTCAAGGCTTCAGAACTTGTGAGGGGCAGAGTGAGGCTCTGAACTCGGGCATTCTGTCATCAGAACCCTTTCCCTTCACACAGGTGTAATCATTTGCTTCTTTGTTCTTCCACTGGTCAGTGTTTTGCCTTTTTTTTTGTAAACTAGCCCAGGGCTTAGGACATGGCGGGCATTCCATGAATTTAAGAAAAGAAAAAAAAAATAGTTTAAACAGAATGAGAAAATCAATTTATAGCATGTGAATTAAGATAAGACACCAGGGGACATGCATTAGAAAGGAATGTCATTCCACACAGAGAATAAATGTAAAAATACTCAGACACAGAAAAACATAAGTGAAAAATAGAAACTGACAAGAAGTGTCCTAGTGAAAGTAGAGTATCTGACCCAGGCTTTAACTGGAGGTAAAGGAATTGAAGAGAGAAGACGAACAACAAGGATAACAATTTGGTAAAGCAAATAGTGAGTTTAGAGTTAATGCGAGATAAATGGTAACTCATTTTCCTTCTGAACAGGAAGAGGCACTCAAAATAATATTTTAGGGATATTATCTTGAATACCATACATGGATAAAACTAGAAAAATGGAATAGGATGGTAACTGGGAAACTGTTGCTATAGGTCACAGGTGACTTGATAGAAGCCTGGAATAGAGATGGCGTGGCTCTGAAAAAGACTGAGACATGTCCACTGAGTTGACACAGGTAATTCAAGATCGATAGCAACAACGCTACGTTCTTCTCTAAGGACAGTTTGTGGCTCTAATTCTTTGCACAGAAGTCCTCAACATACAATGATTCAACTGCTGTTAATTCTTATTTATAGCACTTAGAGCAGGCAGCAGCCCAGTAGATCTACATGAACCAGTTTACAGCCTGGTGTTCCCATATAAAGTATCCCCAGACTCCCAATTTGACTTTGATTCTACTGAAGTAGTTGAGGCTAGCACAACTACAACCCTCCAACAATGTCTTTTTAGCTCCTCCTTCTATTATTCAATCCTGTTATGCTCTGTATAATGATGTTTCAGTCAACAATGGACTGTATAACAGTGGTCCCATAAAATTATAATGGAGCTGGAAAATTCCTATCACCTAGTGACATCAAGCTGTCATAATATCGTAGTGCAATGCATTACACATGTGTTTGTCGTGATGCTGGTGTAAACAAATCTACTGTGCTGCCAGTCTTATGAAAGTATAGCACATACAGTTATGTATGGTACATAAGACTTGATAACAATATTAAATGACTATGTTACTAGTTTACATATTTACTGTACTGCACTTTTTACTGGTATTTTAGAATGTACTCCTTCTCCTTACAAAAAAAACCAAGTTAACTATAAAACAGTCTTAGGCAGGTCCTTCAGGAGCTATTCCAGAAGGCAGCACTATTATCATAGGAGATGACAGCTCCATGTGTTTTATTGCCCCTGAAGACCTTCCAGCAGGACAAGATGTGGAGGTGGAAGACAATGATATTGATGATCCTGATCCTGCGTAGGCCTAGGCTAATGTGTGCATTTATGTCTTAGTTTTTAACAAAAAAATTTAAAAAGTAAAAAAAATTAAAAATTTTAAAAATAGAAAAAAAGCTTACAGAATAAGGTATAAAGAAAGACAATATTTTTGTACAGCTATACAATGTGTTTGTGTTTTAAACTAAGTGTCATTACAAAAGAACCAAAAAGTTAAAAAAAAGATTATAAAATAAAAAAGTTACAGTAAGTTAAGGTTAATTTATTATTGGAGAAAAATATAATTTTTATAAATGCAGTGTAGCCTAAGAGCTGTGTTTATAAAGTCTACAGTAGTGTACAGTAATGTTTTAGGCCTTCACACTCACTCACCCAGAGCAACTCTCAGTCTTGTAAATTCCATTTATGGTAAGTGACCTATACAGGTATACTATTTTAAAAAATCTTTTATACTGTAGCCTTTTTATGTTTAGGTATGTTTAGATATACAAATATTTACCATTGTGTTATAATTGCCTACAGTATTCAGTACAGCAACGTGCTGTACAGCTTTATAGCCTAGGAGCAATAGGCTATATAGCCTAGGTGTGTAGTAGGCTATACCACCTAGGTATGTGTAAGTATGCTTTACAATGTTCGTATGACAAAATCACCTAATGATGCATTTCTTGGAACATATCCCCATTGTTTAGCAATGCGTGACTGTATAACACTTATCCCTCCAGAAATGTAGTCAATATACAATCATATAACTCAGATTTTTTTCCTTAAAAAATTAACAGAAAATAAAAAAAGTGTTTTAGAAATAACTAGACAAAAATATAATAAAGTAATCTAGGTAAGCAGGCCTCTGCCAAAAATAGAACCAAAAGTAGCAGAATAGTAGAAAGATTTCCTTGAAGCCACTCTGTTTCCCCACATTACGAAAATGGTGATGGAATGTGCTAGGAGTATCGGGAGAATATGGGCTTGGGATAGGGGGCACCATGACCATAAGACAGCCTAGAAAGAGGTACTGGTGATCAAAGTAGAAGTAGGAACGGGCAGGGAAGAGACAAAGAATGAAGAGTTTCTGCTTTTGAAATATGAACTATGTAAAACCAAGTGACTATGCTTCAGAACTTTTGGGGTAATGCAGATGTGTAGCTTCTCATGCTAACTGGCCAAGGCAGTGTGGGTAAGGCATCACATATCTGAATGGCCACACTGCTTTGCCTGCCTTGCCTACTGCCTTCCATTGCCTGAGTTAGTTCACTCTCCTGGTGTCCTGTGGAAACCAAGCTGGGACTGGAGTGATCCAGGCACTTCAAGTGGGGCTTAGAAAAGGGCATCAACAGAATAAACAATACATACTCAACATGACAGCTTTCAGTAGTTATCTCCAAAGAATAATAAACATTTCAACAAAGTGTTCTTAGATTGGCTAATAAAAATATCTCTCCTTATAAAACAGATTGATGCCAAGAAGATAAGAATTACATTTTAATATGGCATTAATTTGGAAAAACCTGACAAAAAAGTATATTTCTGACATCCTACCTCCATGAAGTATTTGTTCCGATCCCACATTGAATAGCACTCCCACCAAGGTACACTGGACTGCAACTAGACGAGTTCAACAGATGGAGAAAAATTAAATTACAAGAAAAAATAATTACGAGAAGTTAATTTGGCCTTGTTAAAAAAAATTAGCATTGTTGACTCTATGCCCTTGTAATCAAACTGTATATTTTCCATAGCCAGCCAACTATTTCAAAGAAGAGATATTTATTCCAGGATAACTGCTTTATTGGATATAACCTGTACATTCAGGAACACTCAAGGAGTTAAAATGAGTCACAAAAAAAATGTGTTTGCCAAATAATGTAAGGGACAAAGTAAACACCCAAGAATATAACAGAACATTAATTTTGAGAAACTGTTCACACTATTTTTTTTACATGGCAGAAAATTATTTACAATAGCAATAATCTCCCATTTAATTTCCTTTACACTAAGGGGTCACATCACAAGAACACTGAAGATAATTGCTATTGGTCTTTCTCCTAAAGGCCAACCAGTGCTTTGTTGTTCAATGTCACTGCTGTTTAAATGGTAACAAAATCTACTAGACTATGCTCAAAGTATTTGCTCACTAGTGTGTATAATCCATCAAAGCAATCTCAACTTACCTTTTACCAAAGCCTTGAATGGAAGCTTTGACAGATGTGTTACCTGAAGATTTAGATTTTAATTTCTGTTAAAAAAACAAAACAATAAAAGGCCAATGGAAACTTAGACAACTGTAACATGAAAACTAATATTCTTTATTTTATAAGAAGAATATTTTCTAAATGACTTAAATAAAAATTTTGGTGGCATCATTTTTAAGTTTCTGAAATAAAAACAATGATCAAAACCTTTTAAAGGCAAAAGGGAAGTAGAACTCTCTGAGGAATTTGCAAATTACTCTAACTTTTAGGCTAGGAAATTGATATACTGCTATTATTAGCATGCTAAGATTTAGAGTCACTTTATAACTCTTCGGTTAATACTAGAGTTCAGTGATTTAATATGAAGGACCTGCTATTTAAAACTTCATTCTAGAAAAATTCAACTGAGGAGGAGAGACCCTCAGACTCATTTTTAAAGGCTATGAATGGTACTCATATGAATTAAAATTAACCTAACCAAACTTCTGTGTAACTTCAGAAATATTACTTTTGATCAAATGGAACAGTTCCAACCAATAGATGTTCAAGGAAAATGCAGGGCTACCTAGTCACAATCGTACAGTAGTTCCTATATGGTTACATAACATCATGATCATTAGCAAGCTTTTATTAAGTGTTAACCAGTAATGTGGTACCAAACAACATAAACCAACCACATACTAGGACCACCGCCAAGGAGAGGAAGTGAGATGGAGAAAAGGCAATTTAAACTATACACAGACATGCCTTCACTTTACCTAGTGAGTAAGGAAATTTATTAGACACAAAAATATTTCATTTTACTATTTCTCTTAACTCTTTTATTTGATGTTAAGCAGAACTGGAAGAATTTTTGGTATGTGTATGAAAAATAATAATACATATGAGTCTCTTTTTTTTATTTTGGTGAGTATGTTCCATATACCATCCAGACTGACATTTATGACTCTAAGCTGGCACACTGTAATGTTTGTTGTTGGTTCCTGGGCTTTCTTGTATGGGTCCAAGAGCAGTTCAGAAAGGCAACAGAATGGGAGGGCTGAGGGTGGGGTGGGAGAGCAGTACTTTCAGGGCATAATGTAGCTTCTAAGGACAATGTGGGCATCTGTTCATAGACACTTCCTCATCCAATAAGTGTTTTACATAGATCTGCTTTCTCCCTTGAAGACTGGAAAACTGGGTATAATAAATAACTAAAAAAGGAAAACATAGAGAAGTGCATAAAAGTTTATTTTGTCATGATTGTAAGAGCTACTTTTATTTCAAATTAGTGTATTTTAAAGCCAAACTAGGTAAATATTTATCTTCTCCTAAAACTCCTTCAACAGGAGAGACCGTGCCTCCTATACAGATACACACACATAGTACTTAATGAATTGCTTAGATGATTAATGAAGAGCAACAAAAACATCATGTAGTTTTTTTTTTCTACTATTGATTAGCATTACTAATTAGCACTACTATTCAGCACTTATGATATATTCGGTTTTCAGTGTACAGGTGACCCTGAACAACACGGGTCTGAACTGTCTGGGTCACTTGTGTCTCGATTTTTTTCCCAACGAAATAAAGATTAAAAATACAGTTTTTGAGGGATGTGAAACCTGCGTATATGGAGGGCCGAATGTGGGACTTGACTATTCTCAGATTTTGGTATACACGGGGATCCTACAACCAATCCCTCATGTCTACTGAGGGATGATTGCATTTATTATTGCTGTTGTGTTGACATGAATCAACTAGGTATTAGCTTATTAGTTAACCTCAGATGAATTGAAAATGCTAAATTTAGAGAAATTAAGATCTTTAAGTCATTTGATTTTTAGTCTGGCTGACAAAAACATAAATGGCCCCTATCCATATCCTTGCCCAGGGGTTGGGGACCGAAGTTCTAGAGCTATAGAGATGTTTTTCTGGAAGGTATAGAGATTTTGAGTTCTTTTGGAAGCTATAAAGCTTTTGAGTTGTTACTGCAGCAAATCCGACTAACATATATAAAATGACTTTCTTTTTTTTTTTTTCGCTAAGCACCTTGATGGGTTCGGGTAGATACATAAAGTGATACCAAAGCTTGATTTTAAGAGTATGAACTAAAGAGGGCTAAATTTCTTTGTATAAGAAAGTGAGAAAGCTTCGTTTTATCTGGTAGAAGGCAAACTGGCCAGGGAAACAAAATATGGAAAGCAGAAAGTTAAGCAATGAAGCAGTAGACCAGCGATGCAAAAATTATTAAAGGATTTTTTAGGCCAGATATTTTTTAACTTGGAATTTTATATTGTGTCTATTTTAGCCAAGTCTACTATATATATACATGCTGTATATAAGTGTGTTTTTGATGGACATCTAAGAAAAGGTCTGAGTTCCATGTTTGGATTAACTGTACAGAAAAGAAGTAGCAAGAAACAGCATGACAATTTCATCCATCAGCTGCTGCAATTGAACAAAAGCAGGAACTTGGCGTTTGAGGAAACCATAGGAATGTAAACCTCTCTGGGAATTTGTAGAAATTACCTAGTGATCACCATTACCTAGTGATTTTTAGTCCACTGTTTTGCTTTAATCTTCCCTACTTTTTTTATAAAAAGCTCTGGTATTAGAGTTTTTTCTTTGCTGTCTTTGTAAATTAGACTTCTATTTGGTCTCTTTCTTTTAAATCTGACAAGTAAGTTTCACATGCACCAAACTGACATACACTGCTGGTGTAAAAATGTAAACGATACAGTCACTGTAGAAAACAGTTTGGCAATGGGTAAAAAAGTTGAAGATGAGCACATCTTATAACCTAGGAATTCCTCTTCTAGGTTTATACATCCTAAAGAAACTCCTGCACATGGGTAAAAGACGACATGAAAAACTATCTGATGATGCATTATTTGTAATAATAAACAAATGGGCACGATCTAAATGTGCATCATCAAGAAAATGGACAAACTGTTGTACAGTTATACGATGGACTACTGCACACAGTTAAAATTATTTATGGTTATATACATATGTAATAAAAGTATAAAAGTATGGATGGGAAGGATAAGTAGTCACTTTTGGGAAGGAAGGCAGTAGAGCAGGGTTTGGAGAGGTCTGAAACTATATTTCTAATTTGTATTTCTTTAAAAAAAAGTCCAGAGAAGCAAATATGGCAAAATTTTAAGATATGTTTAGTACGGGTGGCTGTTATGTTCAGCATATGGGTGGCTGTTGTATTATTTTATGAACTTTTTTATAAAGTTAAAATAGAGAAACATTAAAAAAATTAAAATACTAACAATTTAGTCATTGCTTCATGACATAACAGCCATGGCACTGCATCTGAGATGCTAAGCACATTCATATAAGGAAAGTTGTTTGTTTTTGACCTTTTAGGAAGGTGTTCTTAGAGACTACAAATAAACATAAGTGACCTAGTTGATCTGACTTTTACATTAATAGTTTTTTAATTTCTTATTCTTGCTGAGAATTGAACAGGGAAACACATACTGAACAGTATTTCACTGCTTCCACAACAGTTTAAGGGGAATAATTTCTTTTAAATAATTGTATTTCTCAGAATTCAAAGGATTACAGATAGCTACTTGTGCCTTAAGTTTTAAGACTATTCTAAACACATCTTGAAATAATGAAAGAATGACTGCACGTTTATAACATTTGACTTACAAAGGGTTTTTTGTCAAAGTTGGGCTCTTCAAATATTTCATTAATAAGTCTGTCAAGATCATCTTCGTTTTTAAATGTTTCTGTTGATCTGAAAAGAAAAAACACAAAAAAACCCCCATCTGAAGCTTAAGAGCAAATAAAGTCAATATCAGAAGAATTTTGTTTAAAGTCCATTATTAGAGCTGATGATGGAAGGATAAATGTGATGTTAATTATTTTTGTTATGGACATAGCCTAAGTTTGCTGAGACAAAGATAGTTTATCAGGTACAAATTCATATATGCATGTTACTATTACACACTTAAATAAAACATTCAAAACTATACATTACATACAAGAGAAAGCTGGGCATATATTCTTCTAAATTACATCAGGTACTTACTTAGGGAATACAAAAAATGTGTAATTATAAGAATTTGATATTGTAAATAAAGATAATTTTAACCAGTCTTTCTAATTTTTTCCCTAAGGATTCCACTGTAAGTCAAATAACCATATCTTTTTACTAAGGAGCTCAAGGTCATGTAATCAAATGACTGCTCCCTCCCATGCACTATTTGTTGTATAATATCTCAACTACCTCTTTACTTTATGCAGGCAAAGCCATCACTGGATTATTAATACAAACTGTTACCGCACAGAACTTTCTATTTAATAGCTGATCTTTACTGAATACTTTAACTAAATGCCAGGGCTGCACTGTCCTATGGCTTTACATGAGGATATCTTCATTAGTCCAATTTTATAGATGAGCAAAAGGCACTAAGAAATTTAGAAAGAAATTTAGAAATTTATATGCTCAAAGTCATATAAATAGCAGGAGGAATAGCTTACAATTGAATCTAGGGCAGTCCATGCATCTCACACTGTATGAGTAGTAACTCTCTTCAGTGTTTGTATGTTGCAGATGCTGTACATCAATTTCATAATGTCATTAGACCCTTAAATTATTTGTTTTAGAAGACAAATTTTTTAGTCAAACTCTCTAATTTTAGAAACATATTTACTCTGATCATTCTTAACATCAGGAATATAGCCTTTCTTTGTTACTACTTGGAGTAAGACAATTTAACCAGATATAAGAAAATCCAGAGAGTGCTGCCTATTACCTAAGGGCTGATTCCATCTATCTCCAGACTAAGCCCCTTCAGTTGTTCTGTCTCCAACTTTTATCTTTAATGTCTTTCACTTTTTAGACTGGCTTCTTCCCTTGACTTAGTATTCTTAAGACTTTACTCTTCAAAGAAACACTCCAAAAAAAATCCTCTCTTGAAGCTGACACCCATTCTTATTCAATTCTGAAGAGCAGTTTAAATCCATAATTCCTACTTCCTTGCAAGTAGATTAGATTTAGCACCAGTTGAGACCTAAAATCTAGATGGGGATTTCTCAACCTTGGAACTACTGACATTTTGAGATGTCAAAGAATGATAATTCTTTGAGATATGTGTGGGAGAGGGGGCCTGTTGTGTATTGTAGATGTTTTACAACATCCCTGGTCTCTACCTAGTAGATGCCATTAGCATACCCTTCCCCAGCAGTGATAATCAAAAATGTTTCCAGATATTGCCAAATGCCCCTTGGGTGGCAAAATCATCACTGTTCCAGAGCTACTGACCAGTTTAAATTATTTACTCTTCCTGAACCTCAGATTTTTTACCTGTAAAAATGATATCTAGACAACAATTTAAAACTGCTTCTATGTGTAGTATTCTATTTATGGCCTCTATATCCCTCAACTATAGTGAAACTCTTCCCTCAAAGTTACCACTTCCCAAATCACTACATTCAATGGCCTTTCTCAGTTCCAAACCTCTTTAATTTTTCAGAAGCATCTGACACTCTTGGGTACCAATTTCTTAAATTTCTTTTATGACAGCAGGTTGCTAAGATGTCCTCTTGAAATTCTCTCTGTCTCTGGTTTTCAGGACATACTCTCTGGGTTCTCCTCTCTCATGCAATTTCGCAATTTCAAGAATCAGATGCATTCAAACTCTACCAACCTAATCAATACTGTCAGAGATCCAAATGGCCAGTTTATGTAGATTCTGGTCTGTTCTTAGATTCCACAATTTCATGATGCTTATTTACACTTGCCCATGCTTTGCTATAGTAATAATAATATGCAAAAAGCCAATATTTCATTGAGAACTCATAATTTTAGAAGACAATATAAGGTTTTTTGATGACATTATAATCTTAATCAAATGTTAACAAGCTTTTATTGGTTCCCTGATTCTGTTTCTTATATTCTAATCTTTTTAAGATATAGTTTCTGCTGAAAATAAAATGTATATCCTAAGTAAAAGAAATAGAAACACTTGAAATCTACAATTAAATATGAGAGGTATATGTAGAAAGCTTAAATCTAGATCTACCATTTCCCAGTAGACTTGGCAAAATGACTTCAGGCAAATAACTACT